ACACGGACGGTACAAAGATAAATAGATCAGCCAGTAAGACAGTGTATCGCATAAAAACTTTATGATCATATGTCTCCATCCCTCGACTCGTGAACAGGCTAGTCCATGCAGGGTTGAGGTGCTCGGAGATCTTTCCCATTGCCCAACTGTGGTAAGCGGACAGAGGAGGATAGTCAAGACCCCAATAGTTCAGATCATTATCAGTTGTATTGAAGTACCACTCACGCACAGGCAAATTGGTGGTGACTTCCATCCAGTGCCGTTGAGCCTCGTAGTCACCGTACATGGGTGGTTTGGCTTGACCAGAATGCGGATGAAGTAAGACACTAGAACGGATGGCGAAACCGATGAAAACCGGTAAGAGCCACTTGACCATTTCCTCATTGCTCTTCATGGTCAATTCGCCAACAAAAGCTGAAATGAAATTGGCAGCCGGGTCAGTTTTTATTATTATCATAACTATACTTCAGTCGCACCCATCCAAACACACTGGAAATGTGTTCACACGGAGGCTTGGCGTCTTAAGAAGACTCAAAAGATTCTAACACCAACTAATATCCACGATCGGAAACTAATTTAATCCAAAGTGGAGAAATATCCTGGTCATAGTTTCCTATGACTATGAACATGCTGACAAACTCATGCCCAAGATTTTATACGGTGCCTTCTTTACCCGAAAATAACTAGTCTAGTTAACCGAGATCTTATATTCGCCATCGATTTACCGGCAATGTTATTTCATTGAACCACACTTTCCGGCGGATTAATGAAGAGACACAATAACATGGGTTATGTAATATAAAACGATGCACTCGGTTTCTGACACTGTAGGGTTATACAATTGAGGCAGTACATGTTTACAAAGGCTACCCAGCCTTCCATATTCAAAATACCGAAGCCAATGCACGAGGCGACTACATCGATCGATTCAAATGGAACCACTAGGTTTGCGTTTACTCCCTACCAGTCTTCCAGTGACAACCTACATTTTCCAGGTGGTAAGTATACACTGAATTATGCACCAGTTTTTCAGTTTATTGGCTGCGTTCGTATGGGGTCCGACCTAAGAACAACAATGTTTGCATACTCAATGACTACAAACAAACGCCACAGGCGCGTTTCGATCAAGCCGCCATCAGACAGTGTCAAACACTGTCCGATGACCGAATCCATAACGAAACGAAAGAGATGGGCAACCAAGGTTGCACATCTCTTTCGTTTCTTTATACTACTAGATGCAGAGGATTCTAGCGACAGTCTACTGTGGATCCTGCTCGGCCAACATGAACAACATGTTTAGTGGTACACCAATAGGTAGGACACTACCAGAACGCCCAGCGACCACTGAAATAGAAGGCAGTGTTTATGTCAAGTAAGATTACCAATGTTGACCAACAAACGCAGAATATTGTTCTGGTGCATATTAGAGGTCAAACACCGTGTACGCACCATCACCCAAGGTCGAACTCAGTTCGATTGTTACAGAAACGCCTCCCCATCCAGGATAATGCCAAGGAACACTTTCTGTGCTGCGACTGTATTCGCGTACGCTTTTGGGAGTTTAGAATTATTGTATAAGTAACTCATCCTAGGGGTATCACACTTCGCTCCATATAACATGAAGGGGTTCTGTTAAACATATTACCAGATCTGTTTTGCTGTCCTCAGGGGAGAGACGATGAGCTGTCTGGATATCGTATCCCTTGGCACACCATCCCATCGTTTGTTCGACAGCCTACGCGTGCATATTGTTGGACCCCATGCAGTGTTTTCAGGATTTGCATTACAAATCCGCTGAACTGCACATTTAGGAAAGCCCATAATTTCTTTTAATGGAGTCTTATTGCTCAAGGTTTTCGTCACCTCGGACAACCATCAACAGCACCGAAAGACCAGAAAACACGTGAAAATTGGTACCAACACTGAATTAAGCAAAATTTTGTGCGCCACATTGACTACCGAAGTTTTTATTCGCATGGGCGACTTGCGTTGAGGATGAGGAAACTACATGTATGTGCTCCTGTTTTGACCATTGATCAGTTCTACCCACACGAAGATGGTTGTTGGCTGTCAATATGGTTGACGCATGCAGGCTGAGAATGAATGGTCACGGAATCTACACTGGGAGGCTGTGCGTATCATGATGAGCTGTTGAGCAATTGGACTTGATCGAAGAGTACAATGTGGCTTTATAAAAGTCTGAAATAGCTCATACGGCAGTGAAGCATCAGTGTTGAACACTGATGTCATGCTGTGGATGATGATGATGAAATAGCTCAGTGGTTAAGGCACCAGCTTACGGACCGGAAGGTTTGAATCGAATCTCAGCATCCTAACTGCTCCTGTCTAGGCTTGGGCAAACTCGCATTATGCCAGCCCTCGTGCTTCCTTCGGGTAGCATAGCAGTTACGCACCGAAAGGGTGCTACAGCTGAACGATTTTTTTGGTCTCGGGTCTAAGCGTTCTATTCCTTCTGAAACAAACGAAAGAAAATCACTGAAAACTGTCCGCAGATAGGATCGGATCTTTACTTTGGCGTTGCTGAGCGCCTTCATGGAATTTCTATCCTGTTCGATATATTAACTTCACGAATAGACGGGACTTTACCGTGTTGTGACGGTCTGTGTCTCTGCAACCCAATGAGCTATACTAAGTGCTTGTACGATACTCGAAAAGTCTCTCATACCAGGCTGGTCAATGGTCAGAGGTATGACCAACAGCCCGCTGGCCCTCCAGGGTGGGGGTTGGGACAAGTGTACTTTGGTCGAAGACCCTAATCATCCTCCTGTTTAGATCTGGGAACCCTGGCAATGTCATCATCATTCTCAGCTGTAATAACCGCGTACTTGTCGTACAGTGGTTGTAGCTGCCACAGTTTCGTCCACCGATGATTTGGGGAGGTGCGGTAGGTAGCTGTGCATAGGCGGGAGCTGACATAATTGATGCACAAGTATGGGGTTATCAGTGAGGTTTTAAGCGGGGAGATTGGGGAGGGAGCTATACGTTGGTGATACCTCGGATACATGAACGCAACTGAGGGCACGACCAGGCCAAACCATTGGTGTGTTCCGTCTTTGAAGACAGGGATAACCGTCGACATGCCCCATTCTGCAGGCCCTTGCTCTTCGTCCCACATAATACCAATAGGCTTTATCAAGTGGGTCACCAGGGAATTTCCGCCTTCTTTGAAGAGGGCTGGATACAGACCGTCCGGTCCTGGTGCCTTCTCACGTTCCAGTACGGCTACTTCATACCTTATTTCTTCCGAAGGGCGATCAAGGTTTACATTCCATTCGCCCGTATGAACTATCTCCACCGGCTGTGTTGCAAGAGGCCAGCTGAACTGCTCTTCGAAGTGTTTAACCCATCTTTCCACTCGACGTTTTTGCGAGTGAATTAATGAATCATCTTTTTCACTTATCGTTTCGCTGACCATTGCTTTCCTAGGGCAAATCGATCGTATCAGTTGATATCGGGCACAGCTGTTTCCGGTAGCAAAAGCCTTCTCCATCTCCCGAACTTTCGATGTCCACCAGAGCTCTCGGTCTTTCCTTAGACTCTTCACTATATGGCATTTGAGGGATTTGCGTGCGCTGTCGAACTCGTTGCCTGTTGGTATAGCTTTCACGGCATCAATCATCGATAACGATCTCGCGATATCCAGTGGTCTTGTGGTCGAATCGGAGAAGTCGGACAGACAACGCCGCTAACATAGCTCTTCTCACATTTTCCCACGTTTCATCCACATGCGCACTGCCACCACAGCATTAATGTACTGTGGAGAGTTGTTGGGCTAGCACAAATCGATACTGTCGTGCTATGGTAGTTCTTAGAAGACAGTGGAGTGGCATGCTTCTTGCCGACTTTAGAGGGCCTGAAGGGAAACGAACTGTCAAGCGTGCACGCACCATGGAGTGATCGGAATCAACTAGTGTGCCCCAGAAGGAACGGCGGTCTTGAATTGTGGCTCTCTACCAGTGGCTGATGGCCACGTGGTCCAACTAGGTCTACGGTTGATTTGTAGTTGGTGGCCTCCAGGTTGCGCAGTCCGAACGTTTACGTTGAAATTTCGTACTTACCAGAAACAGTTCACGATCAGCGCACAACTGAAGGAGTCAATCTCCGTTGCATGTGTGGCGAGCATCGACTTCGAATCGACCGCCCAAATGTGATTCGAAGGTGCTGAGACGGTCTACGTTAGAATTCATATCGCCTGCAAGGATCACGATGTCAGTGCTTTTTGCTTGACGAATGAGCCCGGATAGTTCTCGATAGAAAGTATTCTTCGCCTCAGAACTGCAGTCCGTTGGGGCATAAGCCGACACTACAAACAGGCACCGCTTTTTATGCCGAGGCATTGAGGTTGATTGAACTAGATAACTAGATAACTGAAATCCAATCCAGCAGGGGCGAGACCGCTCAAGTGGTTAGAGCGCGAATTACTGACCGGAAGGTCTGTGCTTCGAACCCGACCTCTGCCTCCCGACTTCTGTCTAGGCTTGGGCAACCTGACAGTATCCCAACCCTCGTGCTCCTTTTGGGTGGCACCAAAAGTGTGTTACAGCTGAATGATTATTATCATCTAATCCGGCAAAGCGCATTCAGCTCTGGGGCTGAGTGCAACTCCCACGCCATACTTTCCACAAGTCATCGTTTCTGGGTCACCGGACACACGGAGGGAGAAATCTGAGAGCTGATTTCATTCTTGGAGGTCTGCGATGCATAAACACGCTTGGGTCTTGTATGCGTGCTCAGGAAGCACAGAATACATCAATTTTAAGGGAGTATAAGGTTTCAGCAGGCATTTCCTGTTTACCAGTTTGACATATAGTATGGATGTTGAAAACTCCTGTATAGAAAAGATCTCGTGGATTAAGAATGATGTTGTTTTGTTTATCGTTAGTAAGCAGCGAGGAGCATAAGGTCAGATAACTGACAGTCACATGGCCCAGCGACGTTTGTTTGTGTGATGAGAAGGGGTTGGGGAGGGACATTGGTGGACACAGAACTGTGCGGCTGAATGATGCTTCCAGGTTGCCCAGACCCAGGAAGGGGGTTTGGTTGAGGTATCCCACCTTAAACCTTTGACTCAAAAGTCTGACGCACAAGGCAGTGGGAGGACGTAGGGTTTTGTTCGGGGACTTTGCCCCCAGCCTCTGACTCAAAAGTATAACCCACGGGGTATCGGACAGTAGGGTTTTCTTAGGGGACTCTTCTCGGACCCGGTGACTCAAGAGCCTGACCTGTTCGGCTGCAGGGGGTTGGCCTAACCCGAGGGCGCAGGGAATAAGGCAGTACTGTCTCACTCCTGATGACGATGCGCATAACAGGCGCCTTTTGAGCAGCGCCGGACTCTGGTCTTAAAAGTATTTCGACCGTATTGGATAATGCGCC